ACGCTGACGCAAAGTATGAACGCAACCTAAGGAGAAACAGCTCATGGTCAGAAAGTTCGTATGTAAGCGAATGATCACAGAACGATGGTGTCGACTTTGTTCTTCTGTTGCTTGTGCAACAACACACAAGTTGAAGCGAATAGACTGCAGATGAATGCAGCTGATAGACAGGCGGCTGCACCTCCGCACCAATAGTACGCCCAGCCGAAGTGGTACTGAAACGATACGATCTCTTTGATTTGTGGATAGATGCCTAGACAGCGGACGACGTACCCGAGTAATATTTCCATTCAGGGTTTCGTTCTGATTATCCTTCAGTTCGTTGAAATAGGTGTAGATGATGAAAGCGGAAAGTGAACAAATCGCTGAAATTGCTAGGGATAGTACTGGCTGGGGAAACATGAAAATGAATAATTTGGCTGTTATTAGGGCCACATGACGTCGTTGGTGTTTCTGAGCTTTCCCATGAGCATGGTTTGAATGTGAAGTAGCAAGCGTGGGAAGTGTGTTGGGCTTAGGGGTAGAGGGGAGGGGGGGGGGGGCATTTTACCTTGTCTTCTTCTAAACGATGGAAGGCATGCTGTCATTGCTTTACATTGCTTCACAGGAATTGACAGGTCTCCACAGGAGGCAACGGCCATAATTGATGGTAACCAGCCACGCCCCTTCTCCCTCACCCTAACAAGTCCGAACTCTGTCGATTTCTGTTCGAAATCCATATAGTTGACGAACTTCAGAGTATTCAATGAGATCCATGTCAGTCAACTTTTACATACAGCTGCGGAAAAAAAACCTGGAACAAGCAAAAAAAATCGGAATTTTCTTATCAAATTATTGGTTTTTCTTGATTTGTGCACCAAAATATCGTGGAAGGTATGCCTGGAAGAACTGTTTTCAAATCAGTAAAAACGACCTCAAGCAAACATAGAAGTATGTGTGATTTAGTTCCGGCACCCAAATCCAGCATCGGGACGACAAAATAACAGAGTGAAGGCCTTCACCTCAACCCCATCATCGTTGAGATGACTTGGAGCATGAG